AATAGTACAAGCAGCATGAAACAATATTATATCATGTCACATGTATATAAGAATATGTGCAACAAGAAATATAAAATAAAAGTCCAATAAATTATGCTTAAAGATGCCTCAACCACACTGCATTTTCTAACATTTAATGTCTCCTGTAGAGAGACTGTTGTCACCCAGAGGTTATGTCTGAAATTGTCTTGGTGGGCAGTTGATACTGTTCGGAGTATTCCTTCCCTAGTTTTTCCATCAGGTGACCTTTCTTGGCTTCTGGTTCACAAGGTGCTGATGGCCATCTGTGTCAGTGTCTGCTACTGTACAGCTGGCTTGAGGTGGCAGCCAGCCATGGAGCTTGGGGAGAAGCAAATTCGCTTTTAATAATTATTCCATGTTTTCCCTCAGAGACTTTCTTTTGTCACCTGAGGCCACTGCGGTGTGTTCAAGCACTCTCTCTCTCTATAATTGTTTATTTTATCCTTTTTTTCAAAATTTTCAAAATACTCGGTTTTCAAAATTCTTTTAATTACTAAACCTGTTTTGTTTTTAAGTTGAAAATTGTCAGTTTCAACTTTACTATCAGCACCTTGAACACATTTTTTGTGAACCTTAAAGTGACAAGTTAAATGTTTAATTTTTCACACTTTTGTCTTCAAATGGAATTACCCAAATAGACACAGCAATTTGTGCCAGGGTTATGGTCAGTGATAGTAAGTGGGTAGCTTCATTTCATGAGGCTAAATCAGAGTGGATAGGGCTCTACCAGGTGTTCTGCCTACCATTGCAAGCTTTATTACATGGAGGAAAATAACCAAATTTCCCTTTATGTGAGTGCTGTAGAAAATGTGATCTGAGTAAAATCATCCATCCATCTCTTTTCTAACTTCATCATCCTACTCAAGGTTGTGTTGGAGTCTGAGCCTATCTTGGCAACCGTAAAGCTGCCAATCAAAGCAAATTAAACTTAGTTGATTTTTTTTAATCTTTGTGACATTTATTTTTTTTTTTTTCCTTCAAAAACTAAACAGACTATTATATATACAGCAGTAGTCCTTCTTGCATTAATGTGCTTTCTTTTGTGGTTAAGCTCTTCTATTTCATCTGGGATCCAAAATAAATACCACTTGCGTTTGCACCACAACAGCAAATGCATTTTTATACATAGGCAATATATTAGATTTTCATGTTAGCAATGGTGTAAAGTCCTTCATAACTTAAACCTGTTTCACCTTCAAATGGAACCCTATTTATGAAAACTCATGATCAGCACAAGACGACTGTAGATTAAAATAATGCAAATTAATTCGCCTCTTGGTAATAATGTACAATGCCCACTGGGATCAAAGGTTGCTGGGTATCCCCTGTAGGTGCAAGAGCTAAGATAGGCTGCCCTTTTACTGCCAAAGGTCTGATGAGTGGAATGCACCCCTTTGGCCTGTAATTGTCTGCAACAGCGGGAGTATAAGACTGGTGTCTGTAGAGCCTTCTGAAATCAGGAGCAGACAGAAGGGACTTGATCTGTAACAGAGTCTCATTACCAGCGGCTAAGCCAGGAATGGACGTTGGACACCCAGCACAGCTAACATTGCCGGCCTAATTAACAGACAGGGGACACAGGACCCTTTTTCTTTCTGAGGCTCTGCAGCTTTTAAGGCAAGAAAAGTAGCCTAAGACCTCCTGGCTCCCAAGAGGAAGATGGCTGATTGCTATTGGCAGCCTTCCATTCTTTCTTTCCTTTGTTTCTTGTTAACCCGGTGCCCTTGTGAATAGGTTTTAACACCCTGTTTTGCTTCAGACTAGCATTTGACTACACTGATTGGACAGGTGAGAGTCTATGTTTAGACAATAAAGACAACATGTGATGTAGCATGTGAGATCCAGCATTGCTATAGGACTCTTTAGACTGTTGAGACTCAATTAGCAGTCTAATTTATCATTATCTTTTAACTTTGATGTGTGCTTGATTATAGGATTTTAGTCTTTTTGCTTATCCTTCTCTTTCATCATGACTGTGTGCATGCAAAGAATGTTGAGTTTTTACCTCAATTTACTTTAATATTCAGTGCAAAGACAGTTTTTACACATAATTTCATTAAGCAAAAAACTGTTTAGCAGTGTTCAAAGTTTTTTTTAAATTTTTTAAATACACTTTTAACTTCAGAAAAGATCCAGACGATCTTGATGGAATTCTTTCATACAACAAGACGATAACGACAGTCGGACTGGGTGTGAGATGAAGAGAAGTCAGTGAAATGATTTTTTAACAAAACTTAAATGGTTGGAATGAATATTACAGGCCCAGAATAGCTAGGTTTGAAGCAAAAGATGAATGTATATCATGAATATTTGTATTGTTTAGAACTGTCGGAAGTTTATTTTTCCAATTGCATGTATTCAAAGCACTATTGAACTTTTTTTGTTCATTTTGTGGTGCAAACCAATTTCCATTTCCGTTGTGCTTACTATTCAAATGGGAAATCCTGTGACTAATGTTCTTTGGATACACAAATGCAATTTAGAAGTAAAATCTGTTTTCTAGATAGTAGCCACAACTTGTAAAATTAAAAACAAAAACAAACTAACACTTGGGAAAAAACTAATTTGTAATGTTAATCAGTTAATAAATGGAAAAATAACAGCTTTTATCTTTCAGGGTCTTGAAATGCCATTTTAATGTTCACTTGGTTAATGAGAGGATATGCATTTGCTTTAGTTATTATATTCTTTCCGTAATCAATTTGCCTTGCTTGACTTGAAGATTATGTTAATAAGACAGTTATTTTGCAGAGAATAATAAAATGGGCTATCACTCAGTGCCTGAGTACATATTACTCCCTGCGGCATGTAAAAAAAGGATTCTTTTATTTTTCTCCAAGATACACTCATCCATTGTATTGCCTGTGTTTTTTTTCTGGTAGCTTTATTGCTGCTATATATTTATACAAGGATCCAAGTGTCATTTATTATAGCAAAGAAATGAGATGGATCCCACAAGGTAATATAGTAAAAGAAGTCGAATGTCGCTCTAATGTTAAAGTTGCTGCACGTAGAATAAGATGTATGTCTGGGGAAAAAATCATTGTCCTGCCATTGGCAGATCTTCAGGAACATCAGCGTTTTATTTCCTATTGTCATCTTTTTGCTATAGACTGATGAGATATCCAGCTGTAATCCTATTAGCCACCGTGTACAAACAGTGAAATTGTTGAATAATCAACTTAACGACTTGTTCAGCAGTTGCTGTGCTGATAATCCCCTGCACCATGTGCTGGCCCCATTAACATTAATCCAGATTGGCTTTAAAGGAAAAAAAAGAAGGAACTTCAACTTAATCGGCAGTGTTACATCTGAAAAACATGCGTCCAGATTAAATTGCAATTGGCTTGCTCATTTAAAAACAACTATTCACTTCTCAGCTTTGAATCAGTTTAGTGCTTAGTTTTTAAAATTGTTTTTTCAGTAGATTCTGGTAATTGCAAGCAATGAGGAAATCATAGCATTATGGCAATTTGCATTGAGTTAAACAGTTAGTCTATGTCTCAGCAATTTGTGAACTTTTGAGTTCTCCAAAGCTGATGGCTTTATGATAGTTCTTCTGCTCACCCTGTTATTTAGCACACATTTTGTTCTGGAATTGAAAGCATTTTATTTTTTTTCTGAACACTTCAAAAAGGTATGTCTCTAGAAAAAAGAATGGTGGAGGTATTTTTTTGTTAATTTGAGAGTGAGTTTTAATTATAGTACATGGTAGTTTAGATAAAAACTCTTCTTCAAGCACATGGATGTCCATTCCTTGCCCTGGAGGTGCCAATATACAGTATTTGCAGGTTTTCAAGGACTCTTTAAAGCAGCACCTCAAGAAGAAGGAAACAAGGTGTCAGGTTGGTCCCTTTAAGCCAGTAACAAGTGAGTTTAGTAAGGTTTAGCTATGAGTTAGAATGAAAACCCTTAGACACCCATTTGAGATTCAGGATTCGACAGAACTATCCAACAGGTTGTCTGGTGGAACAAAGTTGGTCTCTTAACAAAAAACAACAAAACACTTGAACACCCTTTGAAGCATTGAAATATTGCATGATTTAAAAAAAAGGAAGATGAGCAAAATAAAATGTGTGAAGAGAAACCTGACAAAAAAAACAAAGTGACACTTATGTGCCATTGGCTGTCATGCAGTCAGGCCTGTAATGGGGGACCAGTTGTATATTGGATACATGTAGCAAGTGGTGGCTTCCAGCAAGGGGGCTGTTGTAAAATCCTTTGTGACAGGTAGAAGTGAGGAGAGATAAGCAGCTGTGCCAGTGGCCAAATGAGAAACGCAGCAATGAGAGCACTCCGTTTGTCTCGCTTCCATTTCTTTCATGCTTGTCAGCTTGTTTAAGTGTGAATTATCCCAACCAAAGTAGTTCAGGCTCACTGAGCTAGTCCATGACTAGTCATGGTTGTAAACCTTTCCAATGTGAGGAATTGCAGGACTTACTCATCTTCTCATTATTGCTTCTGAAGTGTCAGTGCCCAGGTTTATACTACCAGGGCCAGATTGAGAAGAGTCTTCTGCTGGACAGGTAGACCTTAATTTGGATAAGTGAACGTATGCTTATTTTTGTATAAAAAGTAAGATATCAATTAGATGTATTTTGTGAAATAACATTAAAAAATTAGCAAGGAGCTTTAATTAGGTCATATTAACAGGCAAACCTATACATTGCATGGAAGCAGTTTGAAGCCCCCTTCTAAAATTTTGGGGAAATATATGGCCTTTAGTTCTTGATATCCATTAACTTTAAACAATATTTAAAACATCATATCAAATACTTTGCGATTCTTCATTTAGGGGGCTAAAATATGGATAATCAGGTTCTCTGTTTGCGTGGAAATCTGAAAATTGGTGGCATTTGCCATTGATAGAGAAAGCCCTATCATCTTGCCTAAAGAGAGGGCCTGACAGAAGAAGTGGGTTACTTCTGATGACAATTTTGTTAATCCAGTAATTGTTTGCTGTGCTTATTTCTCCACAGACTTCAACCCCAGGAGGAGAAAATGGGAAGGAAAGTTTGAGCACAGAGTCTGCCAGTACCAGGGTGAATACCTGTATGCAAACAGCTCCTCAGTCCAATCCTTTGCCTGCAGGTCAGAACATAGTGGGTCCACCTGCCATCACCCAAGGAACCTCTGCAGCTGCTTCCTTCTTCATAAGGTAAATAGGCGCTGTTCTTAGTCTGCTCCTGTTCTTTGCATGCTTTCCTCTGGTTAAATTAACTTTAAATACATGTCAGGACTAGGGTAATGGTGTGAAAATCTAACATGATACTTTTGCATTTCATTATACTCCTTTATCTTATTCCTTTTTTTCACTTCTTTGCCATGATTCTGCAAAATTTTCCCCTGGCCCGCTCATTACATGTTCTAAATTCTCTTTTGCCCTTGGCTATCCCTTCACTGTTTTTTCTTATTTCCCACTGGGAATGTGCAGCATTGATGATAGTTCCATCTAATGTGGTAAAATGGCAGTGATAGATGCATCGACTGGTCATTTGGAAACAATATCATAGCAAAAGGAACACTAGTGCATTCTACAGGAGTATTCATGTATGTAATAAATGGGTGCCTAAGGGATGCGTCATAATGGTGATGTATTAGCCTTTAATGGCAGTGGATGCTGAAAGACTTTCGAAGAGGGGAAAGATTGCTGGTCACTCACGGACCTGCATTGTCATATTTGTCGAGCATGACAGTATGGTGCGGTATTTCAGTAATAGCACTTGGCTTACTAAATCACGTCCTCTGTTAAAGTACAAGAAGCTATGAACATTCAGAACATTCAAGTGTGCAGAAAATTATGAAACAAAGTCTCTTAGCAGTAAAGGATGGTGATAAAGGTTGCGGCGCGGCTCCTTGGATCTTCCTGTGAAAGAGCAATCAGGTTAACCATGAGCAATGTCCTGTGACGGCACAGCTTGACCTGTTCATTGTTAGGGTTAATTTCATCGACTTGATTTATAATTTCTCTGTTTGTTTTGGGTCTGCTTTAAAAAAAATCAAAATGATTTTCACAGAGGAAATCTAGGAAGAATCTGTTTTTTTAATTTGAGGAAAACTTGGAAGAGGGAGGAAATTAATAAAAGGTCACACCTCCATTTCAGTTTTTTGTTTTTGTGCTTGCACAACATGAATGATCTAATTTAAAAGTTAAAACTTCAAACTGTTATAGAATTATTAATGTAAATTATTGTATATTATTCTATGAAGATTACTTTTTACTTTGTCCCGTAATGATGTTATAAGTCATCTTAAGGAATTAATATATGTATAATCACTACCATGATCATAAATATTCAGTACTGACCATCATACACTCATGATTTAAATATATGGATTAGCTTTTCTTTAAAATACAGTTCCTGTGTAACTTAAAACCATTAGACAAATCATCTGCACAATCTAAATTTACACTGTAAATGAGCTTGGCATTATCCTTCATCTGTTTTTCATTTTTCACTCCCTGAGTGAAGATGAATATTGAAAATAAGAGAGCATATTGTAACATTCATTTTTCCACATGCAAAGCTCGGGAACTTTTGTAAAAAAAAAATCACATCAACCTACTTTTTAGAAAAGTGCAATTTCTGTTAACATATTATTTCAACTATGGCTATTAAGGAGAACAGTGCAATTCAATGGTTAAACAATTTTTTTGAAGGATCTCACATTTGCACTTCCATTTTTAAAGTTATTGATGTATGAGATGTTGAAAAGTAATCATTCTTTTTTTCCCCTTCTATGGAAATAGAAATTTAGATGAAAAATTAGTTGTACATAGACAAAGAATTGAGGAACCAGTGAATTTCAAAACCCTTTCACATCCATAACCCCTCCCATCTAAAACATAATCTGCTCCTTTCATTTGACATTCAGTTATAATGCTCGAGCAAATCCAATATGTTCAAATGGGTTTGTGGTAAAATTCCCTTGTTAATTAAAAACCAGCTGATGCTTTTAACAGCAAAGTAAATATTTTGTTCTTTCTTGTAGAATGTCTACATGACTCTTAATTTGATTTGCTCTTTTCTTTAAAGGACATAGAATAACAATGTAGGTTTTTCAGCTTATTCCTTAGGTGTCCTTCAGCTTATAGTTCGCAGTCTATATGAGTTCCGGCACAATGATAAAATACACCATGGTTAATTATGAAAGGCAACAGCTCAACTGTGACGTAAAAAGTATTGCATGTAGAAAATAAACAGACATCAGGAAAGCAAATGTGAGCCTCAAAGAACGAGTCAGTTTTCAAGCACCTTTACTCAAATGGTGATTGTGGAAACTTTTTGTACATTTTGTGCGAATATTTTTTGTTGCTGAACATGGCCTACCATAATTCTCTTACCAGAACTGAAAACTAACAAATTCTAAAAACAGTCATATTCGAGCACTGATTTTATTTCTGCAGTTTAGCTTTTGGAACCCAACTTAATTTGCCTGTTGGACAACAACTTCAACCAAAGTAATTTCATGCAGCTTTGAACAGAGGTTTATCCTTTTAGTTTTGTTTTTTTTTCCTTTTCCCTATTGGCATCTGTTTATTTTGTTTCCATGCAGAATCTGTTAATCTCAGTTACACAGATTGAGGCACATTCTGCCACCCACCCCCCAGTGAAGTGGAACTCCATCCAGCCTCTTACCACTAATCTCTCAAGGGCAGTAGGGGCCACAAAATATGCCTGGTACAATTACAAAGCTAATGTGACCAGCCTGACAACAGGATTCCTACCTCAATACATGTTCTCATGGCCTGACTTTACTCACCTGGTTTGTTGGCTCAGATTCGTCTCTGCTACTCTGGGGTCCCATGACCAGATAATGTAGCCAGGCTGAAAGGGCTTTTTCCCCTAATCCTCTTTTAGACTGGAATCCTGTGTGCTTCACTGTCAGGACCAAAATGTAGACTGAGAGCTGTCTTTGTGTTTGCCTTATTCAATGTCAATAACATTCTTAAAATAGGAAAAATAGACATAAAAAAAGAAACAAGTCCTTTAGGGTTTTTCACAGCTTTTGTCTGAAACTGAATAAAAACTGTTTTCATGAGAATGCTTCATATAACGTGTCTTGACTGAAGTAACGGAATAATCCACAGGTTGCTCACTTTCACACATTTGCATAATTCATACAAGTATGAGTATTGCTCAACTCTATGAATCATGAAATTTTTTATAACTTGTTTCATATTCATCTTTGTTTTTTTGACAGATTGTGAATTTTATTTTATCATTGAAAAGTATGACAGGAAGCTCTGAGAAGATTTAGCTTATTTTTTTAAAAAGCACCTAAAAAGAGTAGTTCCTGTGCCAAGATCCACTTCTTTTTTGTGGCATACTCAGCTTGTCCCCTGCTGGTATATGAGCACTGTCCCCTCCTGTCCTCAACCCACACATTGGCTTCTCCAAACAATGGTGAATTTCACTGTGAGAATTTGACTATTGCAGTGCCTCAAGGATTCAGTCACCAGAATAGGCTCATTGACTGTATGTGCCCCATTGCACATCTACCTCTTATTTTGAAAGCGATTCTTGAAAATTTGTTCTATGGCATCTGTAGCTATCGCTGCACATTTTACGAAGTAAGGTCTTTCGCAATTATACTGTTATAAGGAAAAATGTGAGGCTATTTTGATATTTTTAAGTGATGGGAAATCAAGCCAACTTTCAAAGTCAATAGAATGAGATTCAATTGCGCACTGTAAATCTATGACATCTGATATATATTGTGGGTTTTGTTTTATAAATATTTATAATCATTAAAGAAGTTATATTCTCTTCTTTGCTTTATTTGCTTAAGGGCTTAAAGTCATAAAGTTTTCGCCACCATGTTATGTCCACATTTTTTTCTTACCTGTGGCAAACCATACATAGACATTTATAGTGGCACATAGATCTTCTGTAATATTAGTTTTTTAGATGGTCCTTTTTTTAAACTTTGTGTCCACTATAAGCTGACAGAAAATGTGTAGGAGGTATGGTTTTGGTATGTTAATAAATATTGAGATAGTTACCCTAACACTTTTGTGTGTAGTCTTTCCTTTATAATGATTTTATTAATTGATGTCTGCGGCTGTTTTCTTCTGATTCACATGGAAATTTCATTATACACAGTATTTCTTTGATGTGAGACTCATAAGAGCTGCTTTAAGTGGAAGCGAAATACAGTTGTTTTTGAAAAGTTGTTAATGCATGTGTTTCTAATCCTGGGTGACATGTTAGGTGAAATTATAATGTCCAGCTTTGCCACAGAATTTACACAGCTGTCCGTTTGTTTACACTCATTGATCTCAAGTGATTTAGAGCATCGACCCTTAGATTTCTCAAAGAGTGAAAAACCCTTAAAGAATGGGCATCTAGTTTAGATTGCTGTATATTAAGATCTACTTTTACAAACTTCTTTATTTTCGGATTAATTTATTTTTTCTAAAACAATGTCTGACTTGATCAATGACGAGCAACTACCCACTAGACTGACCAGGAAACACCCCCCTTATAATTGAGGTTAGTAAAAGGCCAGGCTCCTTATCAGTTTTAACTGTGTGCGTGTGCATGCTTTTGTAATAGGGGTTTGTGGGGGGGCAGCTTGCTAACGCTGAGCACACTGATTGTTCTGTGACTGAGCATATGATTAGCGTATTGACACTCCATTCTTAATAAAAAAGGCAGGACAAACAACAGAGCCAGCAAGCGCTTGGCTGCTAAATGACTAATGTGTTTTTGTGCCACGCATCAGACTGCTCAATTAGTACCTGCAAATTGCACCAGATATATTAATTTATCATAAAGATTGCACCGGGAACAGCAGAAACAGATGGGTGGAAGATCATTTTCAGAATTATTCTCCATACCTGTGCAAGCTGGATTAAAGCACACGTCATTAGAAAAAGTGCATGGTTGAGGCTGTTTTTAGCATATGATATGACAGCATATGGAAAATTGATTCATGTTAGGTGTAAAAAGGTTTAGCTTAATTCAGTTTGCTGATTGCCATACTGAGAAGAGTCCTAGAAAGTATACAGGTATGATATCTGGTTATTTTTCTGGAAGAAGCATTATGAAAGAAAAAATTGGGACATAGGACTGTTTTCTTCCAAATGTATAATACAGGTTAATTCTTTTTGCAAAGCTAGTTAAAGGATTCATCTATAATTTCCATATAATA